CTCAGTATGCTTCGTTCGGTTACGTATTGCCTTTAAACACTTCATTTAAACTACACTGTACACGCCCACCACTACACTGTACACCACCACTACACTGTGAGCCTCGGGTTTCATGCTGCAGGTTAGCTAGTGGGCCACTTCATTTAAACCTCACTGTACACTCACCACTACACTGTATTTGAGCCTCGAAGTTTCTAACAGTTCATCTAGGCCAGCTTCATTTAAACCTACTACACTGTACTCTCACCACTACACTGTGCCTTAAGCCTCAAGTTTCATAACAGGTTCAGCTAGTGGTCAAGCACTTCAAGAGCCTATTACATAACACACTCACCCTCACTGCCATAGAGCCTCGGTTTCATAACAGGGGTTTCAGCTGTGGCCATTGCCTTCATTTTAAACTACTACCTGTACACCACTCACTGTGCTTGGGCCTCAGGGTTTCATAACAGGTTCAGCTGTGGCCAAACACTTCATTTAAACCTACTACACTGTGCCTCACCAACTACATGTAAAGGCCTCGGGTTTCATAACAGGTTCAGCTTGATGGTTAAACACTTTCATTTTAACCTGCTACACTGTGCACTCACCACTACTGTGCATAGGGCCTCGAGTTTCATATGGTTCAGCTAGTGGCCAAACACTTCATTTAAACCTTTCTTACACTGTTACACTCACCACTACCTGTGTGGGGCATTGAGTTTCTGCTCAGGTTCTTCTGGTGGCCAAGCACTTTGTTTAAACCTACTACACTGTACACCACTACACTGTATAGGGCCTCGGGTTTTCATAACAGGTTCAGCTGTGGTCAGAACACTTTTTGAACCTACTACACTGTACACTCACCACTACACTGTATAGGGCCTCGAGTTTCATAACAGGTTCAGCTGAGTGGCCAACACTTCATTTAACCTACCTCCTTACACTATAGAATATAGAGTTTCGTAACAGGTTTAGATAAAAATTCATCACTTCATTTAAACCTACTACCTGTACTCTCACCACCACTTTGTAAGAGCCTCGAGTTTATAACGGTTTCAGCTAGGTTGAAGCTCTTCATTTTAAACCTGCTACATTTTTGCACTCTCACCACTACACTGTGTAGGAGCCTCGGTTTCATAACAGGTTTCGCTAGGGCCAAACCTTTGTTTAAAGCACCACTACACTGCACCTCCTCACACTACATGTATAGGGCCTCGGGGTTTCATAACAGGTTCAGCTGAGGTAAACACTTCATTTAAAACTACTACTGCTGTCCTCACCACTACACTGTATAAGGCTCGGGTTTATAACAGGTTTGGCTGTGGCCGACACTTCTTTTAACCTACTACTTGCACTCACCACTACTGTATAGGAGATAAGTTTCTAACAGGTTCATCTGAGGCCAAACACTTCATTTAACCTACTACACTGTACACTCACCACTACACTATAGGGCTATAAGTTTCATGTAACAGAGTTTCAGCTAGAGGCCAAACACTTCATTTATACTGCACTGTACCTCACACTACACTGTGCGTTAGGGCCTCGAGGTTTCATAACAGGTTCTGTAGAGGCCAGTTACTTCATTAAACCTACTACACTGTACTGCTCACCACTACCTGTGTGGGCCTCGGGTTTTAATTGGTTCAGCTAGAGGCCAAACACTTCATTTAAATCCTACTACACTGTTGCACTCACCACTACACTGTGATAGGGCCTCTGAGGTTTTCATGAAGTTTCCTTAGTGGCCAAACACTTCATTTAAACCTACTGCACTGTACATCATCACTACACTGTATAGGGCATAAGTTTCATGACAGGTTCAACTGGGGTCAAAGCAATTTCATTTAAACCTACTACCTGTACACTCACCACTACACTGTATTGGGCCTCGGGTTTTAACAGGTTCAGCTAGGGTCAAACCTTCTAAACCTACTGACTGTGTACACTACACTGTATAGGAGCCTCGGGTTTCTTTGGGGTTAGCTAGTGGCTGACACTTCATTTCCTTTCACTACCTCACCACTACACTGTATAAGGCCTCGAGTTTCTGTAACAGGTTGACTGGTGGCCAAACACTTCATTTAAACCTTCTTTACATTGTACACTCACACTGCACTGTATAGGGCTTAGAGGTTTTCTGTGGTTCGCTAGTGGCCAAACACTTTCATTTAAACCCTGCACTGTACCTCACCACTACACTGTATGGAGCCTCGAGGTTCATGACAGGTTCAGCTAGGGGCCCATTTTTCATTAAACCTACTACACTGCACTCACATACACTGTATAGGGCTCAGTTTCTTAACAGGTTCGGCTAAAGGGGCCAAACACTTCATTTAAACCTACTACACTGTGCCTCACCACTACACTGTATAGAGGTATCGAGGTTTCATAACTGGGTTTCAGCTAGGGGCCGTACTTCATTTATAGCCTACTGCATCCACACTACACTGTATAGGAGCCTCAGATTTCATAACAGGTTCCTTCGAGGCAAACACTTCATTTAACCTGCCACTGTTTGCTGCCACTTACACTGTATAGGGCATAGGTTTCATGACAGGAGGTTCAGCTAGGGGTCAGCTCTTCATTTAAACCTACTACACTGTACACTCACCACTACACTGTATAGGGCCTCGAGGTTTCATGACAGAGTTTAGCTAGGGGCTGGACTTGTTACCATTCTACACTACACTTTACTCACACTACGCTGTATAGGGCCTCGAGTTTCTATGTTGGGGTTTAGTGGCAAACACTTCATTTAAAACTGCTACACTGTACACTCACACACTGAAGGGCCTCGGGTTTCATAACAGGTTCAGCTAGTGGCCAAACACTTCATTTAAACCTACTACTACTGTACACTCACCACTACACTGTATAGGGCCTCGGGGTTTCATGACAGGGTTCAGCTAGGGCCAAGCATTTCCAAACCTGCTACACTTTGCCTCACACTACACGTATGAGGGACTCAGTTTCACAGGTTCAGCTAGGGGCCAAACACTAAATTTGCTTTTTACTCACCACTACACTGTGTAGGGCCTCGAGTTTCTCTTGAGGTTCAGCTGGGGGCCAAACACTTCATTTAAACCTACTACACTGTACACTCACTACACTGTACTTGGGCCTGGGAGTTTCATGACAGGTTCATCAGGGGTCCAGACACTTCATTTAAACCTACTACACTGTTTTATACACTACACTGTGTAAGGCCTGAGGTTTCGCTGCTGGGGTTCAGCTAGTGTGGCACTTCATTTAAACCTACTCTGCTTCACTACTACACTGTATAGGCCTCGGGGTTTCATGGCAGTTCAGTGGGGGTTAGGCTCTATTTAAACCTACACTGTGCCTCACTACATGTAAGGGGCATCAGGTTTCATGTGGGTTCGCTAGTGATAACACTTCATTATCCTACTGCATGCCTCAACACTACACTGTATAGGGCCTCAGGGATTTCATTGCTGGTTCGGCTGGTAGCCAAGACTTCATTAAACCACTACACTGTACATCACCACTACACTGTATAGGAGCCTCGGTTTCATAACAGGTTCAGCTAGGGGCTGGCTTTCATTTAAACCTACTTCACTGTACACTCACCACTACACTGTATAGAGCCTCGAGTTTCATAACAGGTTCAGCTAGGGATCAAACACTTCATTAACTCTCACTGCACTCCACACTACGCAGTACACTCACCACTACACTGTATCAGGAGCCTCCGAGAGTTTCATAAGGGTTCAGCTAGTGGCCAAAACACTTCATTTAAACCTACTACTGTACACTCACCACTACACTGTATAGGAGCCTCGAGTTTGTTTGGTTTAGCTAGTGGTCAAGCTTATTTAAACCTGCTACACTGTACACTCACCACTACACTGTAAGGCCTCGAGTTTCATAACAGGTTCAGCTGAGGGGTCAAACACTTCATTAAACCCTACACTGTACACTCACCACCACACTGTGTAGAGCCTCGAGTTTTCATAGAGTTCAGCTAATTAGCCAGCGCTTCTTTAAACCTACACTGTACACTCACCACTACACTGTATCAGGGCCTCAGGTTTCTCATAGAGTTCAGCTAGGGTCAAACACTTCATTTAAACCTACTGCACTGTACACTCCACCACTTCACTGTACACTCACCACTACACTGTATAGGGCCTCGAGTTTCATAACAGAGTTCTCAGCCCAAACACTTCATTTAAACCTACCTTTTTACTCCACTACACTGTATAGGAGCCTCGGGTTTCATAACAGGTTCTTTTAGTGGCAAACACTTCATTTAAACTACTACCTGCTCACCACTACACTGTATAGGCCTCGAGTTTCATAACAGAGTTCCTTCAGGGGTCAAACACTTCATTTAAACCTACCACTTTTCTACACTCACCACTACACTGTATAGGAGCCTCAGAGTTTCATAATCTGGGTTTCAGCTAGGGGCCAAGCACTTCATTTAAACCTACTACACTGTACACTCACCACTACACTGTATAGGCCTCGAGTTTCATAAGGTTCAGCTAACGTAGCCACTTCATTAAACCTACTACACACAACTGTTTGGGCCTCAGTTCCTTTGTGGGTTCAGCTAGGGGTCAAACACTTCATTTAAACCTACTACACTGTACACTCACCACTACACTCTATAGGAGCCTCGAGTTTCATAACAGGTTCAGCTAGGGGCCAAACACTTCATTTAAACCTACTACACTGTACACTCACCACTACACTGTATAGGAGCCTCGAGTTTCATAACAGGTTCAGCTAGAGGCCAAACACTTCATTTAAACCTACTACACTGTACACTCACCACTACACTGTATAGGAGCCTCGAGTTTCATAACAGGTTCAGCTAGTGGCCAAACATCAGTATTCTGGTCAAATGTTTGTTTAGCACTGGAGTTTGGTCTAATGATGTTAGTGGCTCCGCTAGTGAAGGTGCTGGCTGCTACGTCACCTATTATACCCAGGATGGTCTAGGAGGGAGAGAAATAAGGTTTGGTTATAATGCTTTAGATATGTTTATTTCCTAGGATGATCTAGGTTTGGTTAGGTTAGGTTAATTTAATTCTAACTTAATCTAACTTAACCTCTGACTTTTACACTTCACAGTACACTCTCTCTACACCAATAAGTACACTACTTACTCTGTACACCATAAAACGTACACTACACCTCATGTACACCCCAAAAACATACACTACACCTCATGTACACCAAAAAACATACACTATACCCCATGTACACCCAAAAAACCTACACTACACCCCATGTACACCCAAAAAACGTCCACTACACACCATGTACACCCAAAAAACATACACTACTCACCATGTACACCTAAAAAAGTCCACTATACCCCATGTACACCCAAAAATCGTCCACTACAACCCATGTACACCCAAAAAAACATACACTACACCCCATGTACACCCCAAAAACGTCCACTATACACCATGTACACCCAAAAAAACATACACTACACACCTTGTACAGTAAGTTCTGAGTTAGGGCCACTCTATATTCAGGGCTGGCGTCTTCAGGGTTGTTATCAGGGATGACCTCTCCAGCCAGGACCTCTAGAGCTCCTTGGAGTGCGACCTCATCCTCCAAACTCATACCCTTGAGGGCCTCTTCAGTGGCCTTGGCTCTTACCTAAAGGATAACCCCAGATCATCAATTTGACGTCAATTTTACCCCAGATCATCAATTTGACGTCAATTTCACCCCAGATCATCAATTTGACGTCAATTTCACCCCAGATCATCAATTTGACGTCAATTTCACCCCTAGATCATCAATTTCCCATCAATTTCACCCCAGATCATCAATTTCCCATCAATTTCACCCCAGATCATCAATTCCCCATCAATTTCTACTCACGAAGGAAGGGTTAACGCCTCCATAAGCAATAATAGGAGACCCTGTGACTGTATGTGCGTTGGTAGCGTCCACCTGCAGTCTGAACCCTGCGTTGACCTGGGCATGAGTGTTGCTGGGGCGTGGGGGTATCTGTGAGGGGTGAGAGGGGCGGTGAGTGGGGTGGTCGAGTGGTGGGGGAGAGGGAGAAGATGATATTGTTAAAAGAAAATAATTTTATATAATTTTTTACAATTTATAAGAACTCTCTCTCTCTCTCTCTCTCTCTCTCTCTCTCTCTCTCTCTCTCTCTCTCTCTCTCTCTCTCTCTCTCTCTCTCTCTCTCTCTCTCTCTCACCTTAAAGGTTCTCACAACAGTATCCTCAGAGGCTGGAGTCAAGACCACATCAAGTATCACTCGACGTCTCCCTACGAGGTCGACCTCCAACAATTCCTCCAAGTTGTATTTCTCCAAACTTCCATCTGGTCCACCTAGGAGAGGGAGGGAAGTTCTCTTAGTTGGTTAGGTTTTGGTTAGATTTTGGTTAGATTTGGTTGGTGTTTGGTTTGGATTGGTTGGATTTTGGTTTCGGTTAGTGTTTGTTTAGATTTGGTTAGGTTATGTTAAATTATTGACCTGTAATGACCTGTAATAACATAATGTGACCTTCCACAACGTGTAATGACCTATAATAACCTGTAATAAGCTCCCACAACCTCTTACAACCTACCACAACCTACCACAACCTTCCATAACCTACCATAACCTGTAATAACCTGTAATAACCTGTAATAACCTGCAATAACCTATAATAACACTCCACAACCTCCCACAACCTCCCACAACCTGTAATAACCTTCCATAACCTGTAATAACCTGTAATAACCTGTAATAACCTGTAATAACCTGTAATAACCTGCAATAACCTATAATAACACTCCATAACCTCCCACAACCTCCCAGAACCTTCCATAACCTCCCACAACCTACCACAACCTTCCATAACCTACCATAACCTTCCACAACCTACCATAACCTGTAATAACCTGTAATAACCTGTAATAACCTACCTGTTGTTATTACGGCACCAGCTACGAGGAGACCAAGGAAAATATCCGATGGAAACTCAGGGTGTAGAACCTTAGCTGCGATGTTTCCTCCCCAACTGCCCATCTGGGGGGGAAAATTGGGACTTAAATTGGGGAAAATAGGCCTATGATTAATGGGGAAATTGGGGTACATAAATTGGGGAAAATAGGCCTATGATTAATGGGGAAATTGGGAAAAATAGGCCTATGATTAATGGGGAAATTGGGTACATAAATTGGGGAAAATAGGCCTATGATTAATGGGGAAATTGGGGACATAAATTGGGGAAAATAGGCCTATGATTAATGGGGAAATTGGGTACATAAATTGGGGAAAATAGGCCTATGATTAATGGGGAAATTGGGTACATAAATTGGGGAAAATAGGCCTATGATTAATGGGGAAATTGGGGAAAATAGGCCTATGATTAATGGGGAAATTGGGGACATAAATTGGGGAAAATAGGCCTATGATTAATGGGGAAATTGGGGACATAAATTGGGGAAAATAGGCCTATGATTAATGGGGAAATTGGGGAAAATAGGCCTATGATTAATGGGGAAATTGGGGAAAATAGGCCTATGATTAATGGGGAAATTGGGTAATATGATGGTGATTAATTTCCTTTACTAATTGGGTAAAAAAACTAGTAATTTCTAGCTATTAGGAACAAGACTAGCTAATTCAAACACACATACAGTCAAAAACTAGCAATTTCCAGCTATTAGGAACAAGACTAGCTAATTCAAACACACATACAGTCAAAAACTAGCATTTCAGCTATTAGGAACAAGACTAGCTAATTCAAACACACATACAGTCAAAAACTAGCAATTTAAGCTAGAACAAGACTAGCTAATTCAAACACATACATCAAAACTAGCATTCAGCTATTAGAACAAGACTAGCATTCAAACACACATACAGTCAAAAACTAGCAATTTCAGCTATTAGGAACAAGACTAGCTAATTCAAACACACATACAGTCAAAAACTAGCAATTTCCAGCTATTAGGAACAAGACTAGCTAATTCAAACACACACATACAGTCAAAAACTAGCAATTGTGCTATTAGGTACAAGACTAGCAATTCAAACACATACAGTCAAACTAGCAATTTCAGCTATTAGGAACAAGACTATTAATTCAAACACACATACACTCAAAAACTAGCAATTTCAGCTATTAGGCAAGACTAGCGAATTCAAACACACATACAGTCAAAAACTAGCAATTTCAGCTATTAGGAACAAGACTAGCTAATTCAAACACACATACAGTCAAAAACTAGCAATTTCCAGCTATTAGGAACAAGACTAGCTAATTCAAACACACATACAGTCAAAACTAGCAATTTCCAGCTATTAGGAACAAGACTAGCTAATTCAAACACACATACAGTCAAAACTAGCAATTTCCAGCTATTAGGAACAAGACTAGCTAATCCAAACACACATACAGTCAAAAAACCATAATTTCCAGCTATTAGGAACAAGACTAGCTAATTCAAACACACATACAGTCAAAAACTAGCAATTTCCAGCTATTAGGAACAAGACTGCTAATTCAAACACACATACACTCAAAAACTAGTAATTTCTAGCTATTAGGAACAAGACTAGCGAATTCAAACAGACATACAGTCAAAAACTAGCAATTTCCAGCTATTAGGTACAAGACTAGCTAATTCAAACACACATACAGTCAAAAACTAGCAATTTCCAGCTATTAGGAACAAGACTAGCTAATTCAAACACACATACAGTCAAAAACTAGCAATTTCCAGCTATTAGGAACAAGACTAGCTAATTCAAACACACATACAGTCAAAAACTAGCAATTTCCAGCTATTAGGAACAAGACTAGCTAATTCAAACACACATACAGTCAAAAACTAGCAATTTCCAGCTATTAGGTACAAGACTAGCTAATTCAAACACACATACAGTCAAAAACTAGCAATTTCCAGCTATTAGGAACAAGACTAGCTAATTCAAACACACATACAGTCAAAACTAGCAATTTCCAGCTATTAGGTACAAGACTAGCTAATTCAAACACACATACAGTCAAAAACTAGCAATTTCCAGCTATTAGGAACACGACTAGCTAATTCAAACACACATACAGTCAAAAACTAGCAATTTCCAGCTATTATGAACAAGACTAGCTAATTCAAACACACATACAGTCAAAAACTAGCAATTTCCAGCTATTATGAACAAGACTAGCTAATTCAAACACACACAATATTCATACAGAGGAAACACTAGCAATTTCCTAGTCATTCCAGCAACTAGCACCAAAACTAGCCAACTAGCCACTCACATTCCTGACGCTTGTACTAGCAACAGCTTTCCAGGTCTCAGCGATATTCTTCAGGTAAGCGAATCCAGAAAGAGAGTCTCCAGCTTCACTTAATTCGCTAATTAGTCTTGTTATCGATACGTCAGCGCCAATCACCATCGAGTCGTTAGCTATTACGCTCCTTGACATATCTGGTATCATTCGTGTATAGATGAAAGCTGTGTACGGCCCATCGGTCTTGTAAACAGCTGTGAGAATTTGTGGTTTTGGTTAGAATTTGGTTAGGTTTGGTTAGTTTAATATCATTTTAGGTTAGATTTGGTTAGTATTATGTTAGGTTAGGTTAGGTCAGGTCAGGTCAAAGGTCACGTACCTTTCACTGTATCGCCACAAACAATCTGGTATTTGGTGTCAGCTGCCAGGCCTGCCAGTGTGGTCTGCAGGTCCTGTGTGAAAATAAAGATAGCTTACTCTCTCTCTCTCTCTCTCTCTCTCTCTCTCTCTCTCTCTCTCTCTCTTACCTCCAGGGCTGAATTTGGGTAGTACCAAATTGCTCCACCAATCACAATGCTCTTGACATGGCGTCTGATTTGACCTGTGAAGATTATTATTATTATTATTATTATTATTATTATTTATTATTATTATTATTATTATTATTATTATTATTATTATTATTATTATTATTATTATTATTATTATTATTATTGTTATTATTATTATTATTATTATTATTATTATTATTATTATTATTATTATTATTATTATTATTATTATTATTATTATTATTATTATTATTGTTGTTATTATTATTATTATTATTATTATTATTATTATTATTATTATTATTATTATTATTATTATTATTATTATTATTATCATTATTATTATTATTATTATTTGTCTCACCTTCTTATTACCAGGCTGACGGCAACAACCACCACCACCTCCTCTGCAACAGCCTCCCTTGCCAGCCTGTGGGAGATAACAGAGGTAAGCGATAACCTGTAACCTGTAATTAACCTACCCTAACCTACATCCATTACAGGCCACACTAAACATATATATATATCGTTAATTACTCTACCAACCTGTAAACTGACCTGTACCTGAGTCTCCGTTACAGGGATGGATTTAAAGGCCTGTAATATAGGCCTGTAACCTGTACAACGGCATAGGTTACCCCCGTCTATATGTGATTCAATATCTTCTTCTGTCCAGGTTGGTTGACTTTTGGTTAACCTGTAAATGAGACAGAAAAGTTTTGGTTAGGTTAGGTTTCTGTCTGTCTGTTTCTGTTTAATTGTTTTTCTGTTAGTTTCTGTCTGTCTGTCACTCTAGTTATCCCTTTATTTCTGTCTCTCATTCTCTCTCAATCTGTCTATCACACACACACACACACACACACACACACACATGCCCACACACACACACACAGACACACACCTTCTCTCTCTCTCTCTCTCTCTCTCTCTCTCTCTCTCTCTCTCTCTCTCCCCTCTCTCTCTCTCTCTCTCTCTCTCTCTTTCCTCTCTCAGTATCTAGCCATATCCCAGCCATATGTCTACTCACCCATACATCTTCATAACAAAGCCAGGCGAACAGTAGCCGCACTGTGAGCCAGATTTCTTCGCTAGGGTGTCTTGGATAACATGTAGACCATCCTTTTGATTCCCAAGTCCTTCCACTGTTGTAATTTGCCAGCCATCACACGCTAGGATAGGCACCAGGCACTGTAAGAATGGTGTGGGTGGTTAGGGTGTGGTTAGGGTGTGGTAGGGTGTGGTAGGGATGTGGTAGGAATGTGGTAGGGATGATTAGGATGCAAGAATGGATATAGAATCCCTAGAAAGAATTCAGAGGAGAATGACAAGACTAATCCCGGGCATTATGAACCTTGAGTACAGAGACAGGTTAAAGCAACTTTATTTGAAAAGGTACTCAAACCCTCCAACACCCTCCAACACCCCTCCAACACCCTCCAACACCCTCCAACACCCCTCCATCTCACTTCCCTCCTTTATCCAACTTACTGTTGCTTCCTCCATCTATCACTATTTGGGTCGGGTATGTGTGCAATGCCTCAACACCTCCTTCACCTCCATTACCCTCCAACACCTCCAGCCCTCAACCTCCAACACCCTCCACACCCTCCTTTCTCAACTTACTTTAATAGCACACTTCTCTATTTGGGTCAGGTGTGTACACGAGCTGCCCTCAACACCCTCCAACACCTCCCACCCTCCATGCCCTCCAACACCCCTCAACACCTCCACTTCCCTCCAACACCCTCAGCTTCCTCCAACTTACACTCATTAGCACCACTCCATCTATCACCACTGTTTGGGTCCGGGTATGTCATTCACCAGTACCGCCCCTCAGCTGCCCTCCATCACCCTCCAACACCTCCACTTTTCCTCCAACTTACACTGTTCAGACCCTCCATCTATCCCCTATTTGGGTCAGGTATGTCAGCCCTACAATACGCTGCCCTAACACCTCCAATGCCCTCCAACACCCCTCAACACCCTCCAACACCTCCCGCCCTCCAACACCCTCCAACACCCTCCAACACCCTCCAACTTGCCCTCCCTTGCCCCTCCAACACCCTCCAACACCCCTCCAACACCCTCCAACACCCCTCCAACACCCTCCAACACCCTCCAACACCCTCCAACACCCTCCAACACCCCTCAACACCCCTCCTTGCCCCTCCACACCCTCCAACACCCTCCTTGCCCTCCAACACCTCCAACACCCTCCAACACCTCCAACCTCCCTTGTATTAACAGCACCCTCATCTATCCTATTTGGGTCGGGTATGTTGCAGTACCGCCCCCAGCTGCCCTCCCACCCTCAACACCTCCTTTCCCTCCACCCTCAACACCTCACACCCTCCAGCATCAACACCTGTTCTGCTTCCTCCATCTATCACCACTATTTGGGTCAGTATGTCAGCCACTACAGTACACGCCCACAGCTGCCCTCAACTTCCCTCAACACCCTCCAACACCTCCAGCACCCTCCAACACCTCCACTTCCTCCTCACCCTCCAGCACCACCCTCCAACACACTAGTGTTTGCCTCCCATCTATTTGGGTCAATTGTACTACAGTACACTCCCACAGCTGCCCTCCCAACACCCCTCCAACACCCTCCAACACCCCTCCAACACCCCTCCAACACCCTCCAACACCCTCCAACACCCTCCAACACCCCTCCAACACCCTCCTTCCCTCCAACACCCTCAACACCCCCTCCAGCTTCCCTCAACACCTCCAGCACCCTCCAACACCCTCCAACACCCCTCCAACACCCTCCAACACCCTCCAACACCCTCCAACACCCCTCCAACACCACCTTTTCCTCCATCACCCTCCAGCTTGCCCTCCACTTCCTCCAACACCCTCCAACCCCCTCCAACACCCTCCCAACTTACACCTATTAACAGCACCCTCCTATCCTATCACCACTATTTGGGTCCAGTATGTCGGCCACTACAGTACACGCCCCATTGCCCTCCAACACCTCAACACCCTCCAACACCCTCCAACACCCTCCAACACCCCTCCAACACCTCAACTTTTCACTGCTTACCACTCCATCTATCACCACTATTTGGGTCAGTATGTCGTGCCACTACAATACCGCCCCATTGCCTCCAACACCCTCCAGCTTTCCAACACCCCTCCAACACCCCTCCAGCTTGACACCTCCAACTTGCCCTCCAACACCCTCCTAACACCCTCCAGCACCTCCAGCACCCTCAACACCCTCCAACACCCCTCCAACACCCCTCAGCACTTTTCGGCTTACACTATTAACGGCACCACTCATCTATCATGCCACTATTTTGGGTCCAGGTATGTCGGCCACTACAATACACGCCCAGCTTCCCTCAACACCCTCAACACCTCCAACACCCCTCCAACACCCTCCAACACCCTCCAGCACCCTCCAACACCCTCCAACACCCTCCAACACCCCTCCAACACCCTCCAACACCCTCCAACACCCCTCCAACACCTGCTCCTAACACCCTCCAACACCCCTCCAACACCTCCAACACACTATTAACAGCACCACTCATCTACTCCACACTATTTGGGTCAGGTAGCCCGGCCACTGCAGTGCCCAGCTCCAGCACCCTCCAACACCTCCCAACACCTCCAACACCCTCCAACACCACTCAACACCCTCCAACACCCCTCCAACACCCCTCCAACACCACTCCAACACCCCTCCAACGCCCTCCAACACCCCCTCCCAACACCCTCCAACACCCTCCAACTTACTATTAACGGCACCACTCCATCTGTCACCACTATTTGGGTCAGGTGTCTCGGCTTCCACTACAATACACGCCCACAGCTGCCTCAACACCCCTCCAGCACCCTCCAACGCCCCTCCCAGCTTGCCCTCCAACACCCCTCCAGCTTCCTCCAACACCCCTCCGCACCCCTCCAACACCCTCCAGCTTTACACTATTAACAACACCACTCCATCTATCACCACCTATTTGAGTCCCAGGTATGTTAAGCCACTACAATACCCCTTCCAGCTGCCCTCAACACCCTCCAACACCCCTCAACACCCTCCCTTTTCCCTCCAACACCCCTCCAACACCTCCAACTTACACTAATGTGCTTCCTCCATCTATCACCACTATTTGGGTCAGGTATGTCGGCCACTACAGTACACGCCCCACAGCTGCCCTCCAACACCCTCCAGCACCCTCCTTGCCCTCCAGCACCCCTCCAACGCCTCCAACACACTCCAGCTTCCCCCTCAGAGCTTTATTACGTAACTTCTA